GGGTGCAAGATGCTAGCAGGCAGGGCATACATGGAATGCCATAACCAAGTGGCTGGCATAGTGTACAGAAACATCTGTGCCGAGTACAGGCTGGAAGTCCCAAAGTCAAAATGGGATACACAGAATAATGCTTAAGATATAAGTAAGATGGCACAGACAGCGATGGCAGCCTTGGTTACTCACACTCTCTTGTGTTTGTTGTTTATCTTTGTTTTCTCGGTCTTTTGCCGACATGGCAAGTGAGGCTACGCTAGAGAGGGACAACAAGGTCAATTTCCAACTGACCTTGCAAATTAAAGATATAGAAGGTCAATATATATTAGTAAAAAGAAAAATAGACCATAAAGAGTTGACTTAATGTACTGGATATGCTCTACCAGACCAGAATAAAACATTTATCAAAATATTTTCAACTTAATAATCGCAGAAGAATCAGGAATTTTAATATTTGGGGGCAACTGGAATCTGGTATAATAGATGCATAAGGACATTCACCCTGAAGAAAAGCAATTCACCTATCACTCTCATTGCCTTGCAGAATACTCCAAGGTAGATTACTTTTTCATGTCTATCAGAGAAAAGTGAAGGATTAGTGAATGCAAAATAGGTGTTAAAGATGCCTCTGATCATTCAGGAGTTACAATGCACCTTGATAATGAAAAGAAAGATACAGCATATAGACCAAACATTGCTATGCTAAACAACAGAGAACATATAAAGGCAGAACTGAAAGAATAATGAGGAAAATAATAATAATGGAACAATCTCACCAATATACTGTGGGATGCCTGAAAGGCACTAATACAAGGTAAAATTATAGCATACACTATAGGAAAATAAGGCTTAGAAAAAAAAACAGACTTAAAATTGCAGTCTGAAATAAAAAGTATAGCAATTTATTTTGATGCTATATAAAAACTTGTGAGTAAAGTGGCAATGAACAAGAAACTGCTTGGACATTATGATAACAGTAAGAAGGCTAATGCTAACCAGCGTGTAGCTTGGCTAATGAAGTATGATGCTCTCTGTCACTCAACTGTTACTAACATTACCTAGCTTTGTTATCTGTTCTTCAGACTTGGGACAATAGTGACTTGTAATGTGCTGATGTACTGGATTTACAAGTAGCTATGCTGAGTTAATGTTTACAATGCTATACAATGCTACTGGGAAAACAAAGCTTGACTTTTGCTTGTTTGGCTAAACAAATCCAGTGACATTTCTATTCTGTGAATTCTCTTTACTTTATCAGGAAATACACAGTAGGTATTGGTAAGGTAATCATGAAGTGCTACTAAGTAACTACTCAGTATGATGCCTCACTTTACTTGACCGGGCACATAAATGGTATGAAATAATTAGGCAATCATGAAGTAATGAGGGACTATTGAGTAACTACTTGATAGAACACTCCCTGAGGGGAGCCCAAGCTGAAGAGATAATGGAGAGGAAGTAAAGGGACTACTTCATAGGCTAGCTAATCATTATGATATATGATAATTTGAAGGTTTACAAAAGTATCAGCTTTAAAGTGCCCATGGCAAACTCATTTCCGTTCATTTAATGTTTAATCTTGGGTAGCTCTACATTAGCTTTGCAACCATCATAAGTCCAAATAATAATTTCAGAACGATAAAACCCAAGAGCCTCTCCCTAAAAACAAGATGTTGTGTCAAAGTCCATTTCCCCATCGAGATACGTTTTCCCTAACCTGAATCCTAAGATTTGCCTAACCACAACCAGAGGGAGTTGACCTACTATTTCCAAATGATTTACTCTAAATTAGCCCAAAAGATCACACCAATATGAAAACAAAATAACCTATTCATTGCATTGCTGTTTTAAAATAGCATGCTGCAGTCATGTGCATTACTGAGCTGACAATTAACTTAGTCAAAGTTTAAAACAAAGTTGTAAAAATAAATAGAGAAAGTAAAACAAAAAGACCCTTAAATTCATGAAGCATAAACTACGCAGGGACAGATGGCACTGATAGTGGCGCCTCTGCCAGCAGCATTTATAAGTACTGATAAGTCTGCAGAAGAGGCTGAAATAATAAAACTGCCGTCCTATCACGCTGCAAACCCAGTGGTGGAGGAAGTAATCAGATCAGTAGTAATACCACAATGTAAAACTATACAACAAGTGAATGTCCTGCACTAAAAGTAGAAAAATATTAGCATCAAAATATAGTTACAAATTTGAAACTTTTATTTTTGCTACTTTTGAAAGATATGTTACTGGATTATAACTATTGATGCATTCATGTGTTCATCATCATGTTGCAGTTAGTAGAGGCGGAGATCAA